AGCAATGGGCCACTTTGCTTCTAGGGTATGACCTCATGGACAAGTACCTGTCCACCACCAACCTAGAACAAGCCGATGGGCTGTCGCGTGTCATGCATTCATGCGGATTGGATAAAAATATCGTTTAGCTGTCCCACACTTTCGATTCCTAGCTGTCATGTCCCTCGAATGAAGCACGGAAGCTGGAATACTGCGAGGTTGGCGTAAGCTTGACAGAACAGGTGGAGAGGCAGAGGGCGGGTTCGAACCACGGACCTTCCGGACAATGAATTCGAGCTGTAACGACTTGACCCATCTCACCCGCGCAGACCAAAAACCAGACGATACTGTAGTTGCAGTAGTTGCCATGGAACGGAGGCTAACCGCGTAGTATCGGAAGCAGTTCGCATTCTCCCAGTGACTGCTGACATTGGTCCTCCCACCGACCAATACCCTTTGCTGCAGCAGGTCATCAAGGACCACCGCGGTCATTGGCCGCGTACCCGCCCAGAAGATGAATTTAGAGCTTACGTCAACCAATGTGATGCATTATCACTAGCTAACGGATGCTTTTTATTTTCAGAACGCGTCATTTCAAAGGAATCCTGAATCAAAGCCGTCCTGAATAAGTTTCATAAAGGTTCCCCGGGCACAAATAGGATGAAGGCCCTTGCTCAGAGTTATGTCTACTGGCTTCTAATGGATTCCCAGATTCAGCAAGTCTCCAACTCTTATCTGCAGTATAATAAGGTATCCAAGTAACCCGTGAAAAATGGCCCACGGGCGTGACTGCAACCTACCGAACCTTAATCTCGTCTTCACATCGATCATGCAGGTCCATTGGGTAATGAGACGTTTAGAAAGAGTCCGAGAACGAGGCAGGTCCATTAATGAGACGTTTAGAAAGAGTCCGAGAACGAGTTGGAACAGAGTCCAGGTTTTCGAGGATAAGCAACGTTTTACTTGTCTGTCTGCAAGTGTACATGAGCTGAAATGTACATACAAAAGTTCAGTACGAGTATATATGGTAAGTATAAGAATAAGCACACAAAAATCATGACAT